AGGATAATTTCATTTTCATTCTTCATCATCTAACGACATTTGGTCAGAGAGAATGTGCAAGGATGAATTTGCATAGATAGCGTCCTATGTGCTTTCAGCAACCTGAAGTCACATTGAAATATTTACCGTATTTTTTCTGACCATAAGATGCACCTAGGTTTTAGAGGAGGAAAATAGGGGAAAAAATTTTGAAGCAAAAAATGTAGTAAAATATTTAATAACATCAATAACATAATATCTCACCAGTGTAAATGCAAACAGAACTCAACAGCAGCATTAACAAACATTATTCCTCCCAAATTTGTGGGGGGAGAGGAGTGTGTCTTATAGTCTGAAAAATACGGTAATTATGTAACATCAAGCATGGTTGTATTTTTAAAGGAGAAAGTTTGATATGAACTTGAATATTTTATGATTTCCTCAATTCACATAAATGAGGAAAATGAGAAAATTACCCCCCCCATCCCAAATAGATGTTTGAGGCAGCGGCATTATCCCCCTAATTAAAGATGTGACTGTATTATTTTGATTTAATGCCTGGGTGTTAAAGCCCCTGTGAGAGCCGGGCAGTCCCGCCCAGCCCCTCCCTCCTCAGGGAGACAGGAAAGCGCCCCCCAAGGGTCGCTCCGACCTTTCTGCCTGGGAAAGCGAATGACTTAACCTCAAAATTATGGCTTTAAATATTTCTCCAGCTGCAAAGGGTCATTCATCTCGAGCACCATTTTCACTCAGTAATGGTTGTGAAGCTGAGGCCTGACTGCCGACCTTGAATCTGACTGGTGCAGACGCCCAGCGAACAGGCTTTCTGCGATCCCTCCACCAAGCAGTCCGAGCAAGTGGGGACAGTCACCCCATCCTCCTCTTGTGCTCCGCGTGTCTGGAATGATATAGGCTGTAGGTAAGCAGGGGCCTACCCAGGGGCTTCTGGAGCTCGGTTCACGGACTATGAAGTGCTCATTCGATGGGTATTTTATATTGAGTGGATCTTCCCGCACAGCTGGCCCACCACACCACTGAACATGAGTGCTCTCTGTGGGGCTTTTGTGCTTCTGTTTTCACTCTTACTTCTGAGCCTCTCTCCACGCTCATTTATTTTTAACAGTAGTTTACTCCTCACCGAAGGATCCCACGTGCGAAGACGAGACAACCTGGATAAACTCAGAGTTTCCACCTTCTCTCGCTGAGGCCAAATTTCTTTCCTCTGCATTTAGTGTTTTTTCCTTTCCTGCCTTGAAGTTGGAGGCCCGGGCCGACTTGGGATCCATACCACAACCACACTCAGTATGGATATAGTCAAGAGGGCTGCGGGGTGGTAACCAATGGGGCATTTCAGCTGCGAGAGAAAAATTACTCACAGAAGGAAGCAAGTGCCATGAGCCAGAAACCAATGCAAGCTACGCCGGAGTGAGACACAGTCACAAAATCTAAGGTGCCTCGGAGACAAACACAAGCAGACAAAGGCATGTTGTATAAACCAATCTGTCTTTCATCCCCACGCAGAAACTATGGCTCCGAAATATAGAAATCTTGGATCACTTAATAATCCATCTCCAAACAAGTCATTAATGTCCATCGTAGAGTGGAAGAAAATTAGTTCTATAAAAACTGAGATGCTTGCCAATATCAATTGCAGGATAAGGACCACTGAGTAGCTGGAGTCAGTGACTTCCGGCGTCTCTCCTAGGGCCTGACACCCTGACCTCTGCAGCACACGAGAGGTTATCCAAACATGACTACAATGTTGGGGTTAAGGACCTGCCTCCCATTAGACGTACTGACGGATACAAGCAAAATATCCCTTAGTACCTCTTCTGTTGCTTCGTTTTCCCTACAACAACAGAAAGTTCTGAAGGACAGATGAATGGGCCCTAAGAGTGCATTTAACCTGAATTTCTTTTCCCTTCAACTCTTAAATGCACCAAGTACAAACAATCTCCTAAATATGTGGTGAAATTGCCTAAGAGACAATATCACATTGAATCTGGCCCGACACATCTCAGAGACGCATGACATATTTTCAAGACCTGTAACTTATCAACTATTTTTTTTCAAAGATTGCAGTGCTCACAGATAGCATGCATTCTGTATGTACTGTGTGCTGGGTACCGTGGTAGTGTATGTGGAACGCATTTAGTTCTCACGCCAGTCATGAGGTATACACTATTGTCATCAGAGAGACTGGGAATTTGTCAAAGTTGTTCATCGTGTGAGTGGTGGAAATGAGTTTCTCAGTCAAATCTTTTAAGTCCTAGTTAAGGGCCTTCCTTTTTAATCTGGTTAAACATTCTCACTTAATTTCCTCTTCTGTTTGACCCAACAGGGGGGACCCCCAAAAAACAGATTTATCTTCTGGAGGGGGGGCCTCTTGTAGTACAGATTTCCCCTGCTAAGTTGAGTGTTTTAGGAACTCATCTGTATCACTGCACCAGCTGGCGTTGTTGTGAGAGGCTGCGTTCGACTTCAGTGATTTTTTTAAGACCCTTTCAATGCATTTGCACATTTTATGATGGGTGATTTACGAGTGCACCTGCCCTCACCGTGCTGAGTGTTCAGCAGTTTTTGACTAAAAAACGGCATGACCCCTGTGCCCCCATCCTCCCTATTCACCCCATCTCACCCCAAGCAAATTTTTTGTTAGTTCGTTTCCCTAGATGAAAAAATTCCTCAGAGGGAAACATTTTGCTGACATGGAGGAAGTAAAACAAAAAAAATGCCAGGAGCACTAAAAGGCATCAAAATTGATGAGTTCAAAAACTGTTTAGAGCAGTGGAAAAAAACGTCTCAATGGGTATATTGCATCAGATACAGAGTACTTGGAAAGCGAAGTTTAAACACGTAAGAGTAAATACACAAATTTTTAATAAATAAATTCTGGGTTTTTGGGGGTCCTCCCTCTTATCACCTACTTTATCTCCACTCTTATGAGAATTTGTTTAGCAACAACTAAAGAGGCAAGATGGAATATTTGTGTTAGATGAGACTCCATGCTGCTGGCACAGAAAACCAAACTCAGCTGGCACAGGTGATAACTGGATGAGGTGCCCGCTCTCCGATGGCCCCTGGAGCTGGAGACGCACCGCGTACTGACTGGCTCGAGACCGGATGAGGCGCTCACCTGTCAACCACTCGCTTTGGCGAGGGGAACGTGGATAGCTCAGATTGCAATCTGGGCGCTCCTGAAACCTTGGGTACAAACAACCCCCCCACCCCCAATTAAATACCCCCCCTTGAGGTGGTTGGAGGGGAAATGGGAAAATAGAAGCATAGGAAAATAAGCCAAGAGTCCAGCAAACAGAATCCTTGAGTCCTGTCCTAGTAAAAGGTTAACACACAAAGTAAACCTAAAGAAAGATCGTGGCAGAAATTATTTCAACATTTAGCTGCGTGAAGGAACATACATTAATGTCCGTGGGTCAGTGACCACCTGGGTGTGGCTCAGCTGACTCAAGGTCCTCTCTAGGTGGCTGAGGAAGGCCCTTCTTCCCACTCACCCCTGGCTGTTGGTAGAGCTCGGCTCCTCCTGGGGGGCTGCACTAAGGGCTCCGTTCCTCGGCGCATGGGCTGCTCCGTAGGGCAGCTCTCGCAGGCAGGTGGCTTTCCTCAGAGCAAGCGGGCAAGAGAGCAGAAGATGGCCAGGGCAGTCCTTCCATGACCTCATCTCGGAAGTGACGCCTATCACTCCTGCCACATTTTATTGCTGAGAAGTGAGTCCGTGAGGTTAGCCCACATTCAGGAGAGGAGAGTATTTGAGTGTGAACATCAGGCAGGGCGTGGGGATTTTTTAAGGGTCCCCTTAGAACCGTCTACTGTGATGCATGCGTTTGCATGTGTGGGTGTGTTTGGGGGCGTGGGGTGGTCAGTGGTGACGCAAGGGGTGGGACTGATAGAATACTGAGCTCTTACGGACTTTCTGGTTAGGAACATTAAACAGGTGATATGGTAGTATCATCCTTACAGGTAACAGATGGCATTCACAAATTGAGACTATGAGCCGGTTTAACAGAGGGGCACTTTACAAAGTGCGGACAAGTGTAAGGAAATGCAAGGAGTAGTGGATTTCTCTAAGGGTTGCAACAGCCTGGTGCCTCACTGTCCCGAAGCTGGAGCGGTCAGTTATCAGAGCCAGAAGAGAAGACACCCCCGCCTCCCCCCGACAGGAGCTCTGACTTTCCACCTATGAAGCAGTTAGCCTCTGGAGTCTCCACAGCGAAGGTGTCAAGAATAAATGGCTGACTGGCTCACCCCCCAGGTGCCTGCAGGCACTACCCATGGGATGACCCAGAGGGCAAGAGAGTCCCCTGATACTGTAAGTGCGGCTCAGCCTCCAGGTCACACAGTGACTGGGGGTGCACCTGGAGGGACCCCCCAGTCAGAAGATACCCAGCCCAGAAACAGAATGAGCACTTAGGAGGAAAGTCACATCACAATGGGCAGAGAGGAAGGAGCAGGCTTCCCTGACGAGGTGTTGTTTAGAGCAAGCTACATGGGAGAGTTTGCTAACAGAAGGATATTTAACACCAGGACAGGCTTTCATATAATTGTGTCTCATGAAGACCCTTCAAAATGGAAAACACATACCCATCTCTAAGAGATAATTTGGGTGAAATCGTCCTGATGAAAGGAGGGTGGGTAGCTAAGAAGACTTTGAAGGGTCCTTGTAACTTGAGGACTCAGTGCTCCAGGAGGAAGGGATGAAAATCAGGGAACAGGATCTCTTGCAAAATATTCGCGACTCTTTGAAATGGAAATGAGGCTGCTCCAATTTAGGGATCGGAGGAGAGCAGAGGGTGAGCGTGTGAGCAGCGGGAGGTGCTCTCTTCCCTGGGGGAGGCAGGCTCTGCTCAGCCTGTCCTCATCTTTACTTAGCACCTGCTGGCCTGGAATGGTGTCACCCAGGCAATCAGACAGTTGGGGGTGCCAAGAGCGTGACCTCTGGTGCCAGCTACACCCTCCCCCAACACCTCATGACAGCCTGTCCTGATATAGAGGGACAGGGCACTGGTTTAAAATGACAGTCTCAAGTTCATGTGGGAAGAGAAAGCTAATTCAAAGAAGCAGCCAGGCAAGCTTCCTTTCTCTTGGAATAATATTATCCCCCTTCCCCATGGCCCACCTGGGAGCCCATTTTGCCTTTAGATCCCGCTGGCAGAAGACGGACGATGAACTCTGTCGACATAGCATGTCCTTTATCCTTCACAAAGCCATTCGCGATGACTTCTTTCAGAGCTATCTCTACCTGCTGGAAAAAATCCCCCTGGGTAAGTGAGTCACAGACACTAGATAGGGAAGGGGGCAGGACTGCAGGGGCTGTGTGAGGTTGCGGGACTTCCGGAAGGGCACTTAGAACAAGGACACCTCTAACGCGGGCACGCAAAGAACCCACCAAGGTGTCAGTGTGCTTAAATGTGTCAATGACATTCCTTGTGGAGAGTGCAAAGGCCAAGTGCTGTCAGGCGACTCGGGTCTCTATTCCGGGACTTCCACGCACCCTCAGGCGCAGTAATTTGCTTTTCTGGATGTTGGCGAGCTGAGTATCAGGCTTACAGACACTCAATTCCGTGTTTAAGAGAAAGGTGGGAACATGGGGTAACTCAAGGGCGAGAGTACTAACGCGGTAATCACGTCAACGAGGAGTTAAAAAGCGAGACTAACTAGTAGTAATAGATCACTGTGTCCTTGTGTGTGTGCACACGTGTGTACATGCTTACACATGCCACACGATCCTTTAACAGACAGTTTACAGGGAGCAGATTTTTAGTTTGGTCTTTGAACATGAGGAAAAGAAACTGGGGCAGCCGTGTGTCTCCTTTTCGGTTCTTTCCTCTGGTTTTCAGGGAGTTAGACAATAGGGCAATAAAAAGCTTATCTGGTTTGTCTGCACCACTTTCCTTGGTCTCTGTGAAAGTGGTCACTTCGGGGCACTCTTAACAGCACTGGAAAGGAAATAACTTCCAATTAGGGAGTGAAGTATCCGCCTTTGATTTATGCCTCCCCCGGCGAGAGCAGAAACAGTGGGTATCAGTCCCGGGCTGTTTCCTTAAGGTAGCCTGAAAGCCTCATTGTGCACGTGGGGTGGCCGGGGCTCCAGAGGGGAAAGGCACCACCTAGCCTTGGAATTCCACTCCAGAAACTACATGCTAGCCGTCCGCCAAAGCCTCCTTTTATTTAAAAAAAATCGCCATTTCTGAGGCGATTTTCACTTCTAGGCATACAAATACTGTCCTCCCACGTGTATATATTTCTCATAGACCCTCGCAGCCGCACTAGGGGAGTGTGGGGCGTCATTATCTGTTTCCTCTGCTCCCCCGGCCCCTTCCTATTTTTTCAAACGAGGAAGAGGAAATGCCCAGGTGACAAGATCTCGCCAAATGCCCAAACCCCAGGGCTCCTTCGGGTACATTGATCGCACTGCTGGTAAATAATTCTCTTAAAACACGAACTATGATAGTGGATAAGGGGCAGATGACTGCCACATTTTAAAAACAATGACTAGAGAGAAAAGGAACTCGTCTCTGCAAGTAGTTAAGAATGAATTAAAGAGTAAGAGTAAAACAGCCTTTCCTGAAAATTATTTGGGACAAATAGAGAATAATTCCCATTCGGCCTCGATCCTCTTTTCGCTGCCTAGAATAGTCATTTTGACTTTATACCCTTTGTAAACGTGCTGGTGGCTTATCAATGATTTCCAGCCCTTTAGAAACAACACTTACTATTCAAATTAAACCTCCAGGCAAAGTCTTCCCTGGAAGCCGAGAGTAAAACGCAGGAAGAGTGAGGTTTTTCCGTGATCTCGCTCTAGCCTCCCGGCCTCCCCAGTGACCCCGGGGCATCTGGGTGGCAGCTCCAGGGCTCCATAAACACAGCGGGAAAACCAGGAATTGACTCTAAGCCAAAGATGACTCCGTTTACCAAGCTGCTTTCCCACAAGCCGGTCCTGCTCCTTTTCTCTTACCCAGTGACTCAGCCCAGACAGTGGCCCCGGAGACTAAGGGCTCTAGCCCCATCCCAAGTACCCCTTTGATTTTAACCACCCAGGGCTATTTTAATCAGTATGGACCAGCCTCGTCTGCAATAATAAATTAGCCCTGAAATCTCAATGGCTGAAGATATAAAAGTTTGTTTTTTCACTTTACTACCTCATTCCAACGGGCATCGCTGGGGATGCAGGGGCTACGCTCCACGTAGGCATCCAGGGATCCAGGATGATAAAGGCCCCGCCACCTGAAATATCACTAGTCACCATGGCAGGGGAAGGCAAGAGCTAAGGTTTGTCCACCAGCGCTGACATATTTTGTCCCAGAAAGACATAATTGCGTCTGTTTAGAGGTTATTTCCCAGAATAACCTCGTCCTGTACCCCTAAGAGCAAGGGTGCTGGGCTGTGAGAGGGGTGCATGCATTCCTGGTTGCTAGTAACTGTTTATGCTGCAGGGGGAACCCTGGCTTTTTAGAGATAGAAACATCAGACATTTCCTCTTCTGGATCAACTCAGTTATAATCAGTGCAACAGGCCATACGGAGCTCTGAGTGTTCCGTGCCCTGGAGAAGATTCGAACATGGACAAGACACAGTCTATGTTCTTCAGGATTTTATAGTCTGGTAACGAAGACAAATCTACAAGTAACTTTTTGTTAATCCTCGAAAGCCTTAAATTGAGGGTGAAGGGTAGGCAGACTCCCAGCTCTAAGAACACTCAGAATTTTTGCAGCTTTTCCTCTTCTCGTGGCAAAAACGGAAGCACCTCTGAAGTAGCCAGGTCCATAAGCTCTGAATGGCACAGAAAGGAGACAGCACACAGCCCTCGTCTGCCAGTGTGACTGTGCCCAGTGGCGAGGCTTCCCGGAACCCCGGGTTAATGTCCCCAGCCCTTGGCTTTTCTCCCCGGAGATTCTACCGTGTATTCAGGGAATGCATTCACACGTCATTTCCCCTCCTGGACTCTGGTTCCCGTGAGAGTTGAGACTCACCGATTTTGTCCTCCTCTGTACCTGCGTGCTTACCATTCACCATGGTTCCTGGCACATAGAAAGAACTCAGTCAATCTCTGTTACACTGATTAAATGCCCCTTACTAATAACGAATGGCAGGCCACCAAAGTCCTGAGTTCAGACTCTGACAATGGTGTTGAGAGAGAATTCCCCTCTGTAAGTGACTGGAATCTCTGAGCATCATTTTGCTCAAAACTGCAGGTCCGTCGGAAGGATCAATTGCAACCAATTAGATATGTGAAAGTACTCAGTGCTCAGTACCATTAGTTTTTTCCCTTCCCTTCCTTGGAGACAGGCCCCTCAAAGTCACTGCACAGGCTTCCTCGGGACAGGCTGCACAGAGACGAGGAGCTGAGCTCACTAGGGGGAGTTTCAGGCTGCAGCCCGATTTGAGCTTTTCCATGTGGAAATACAACTCGGCCAGTGGAAGTGCTCCCGCCCTCGCTGCGCTGGGGCGTTTTAGACCTGCCTTCCCCTCCTTTTGATGGTTTCAAGGCTCCATAGAAGTGAAAATAAAGCCCTTCTTTTAAAAGGTCGGGGAGCCTCTGCTCTGGAGCCTGCACAGAGGGCTTGTTGTTCGGGGCGATTAGGGGAACAGCGGTGGCTGGCCGGACTCTTTGATTCCTCCTTTCCTTCCTTCCTCCTTCTGACGGCCCGTGTGCGATAGGCAGCCAGTCTCACAGCAGCACCCGCCGCAGCGACCTTGGGTCATGAGGACGCTCACTGAAACAGCCCCGGCTCCAGTCTCCAGTGGAAGACCTACGGGCCCCAGGTCTTCAGAAAGGAATGGGAACAAGCCCGTCACTGTTCTCAGCATTTTGCATACGTGATCCCAATTACTCCCTACAACGTCCCTATTAGGTGCTGCTGCTACTCCCCATCCCACCTCGTATCTGAGGAAGGTTGCACAGAGGTGCGAAGCAACTTGCAGGAGGTCGGTCACTTGGGGGGGGGCAGGATCAGAATCTGGGCCGTCTACCCCCCAGAGTCTGTCTTTTTTAACCACACAATCAAGCCGCCACCTCCCAATGTAACGGGCAGTGTGACTCCTGGGGGCAGTGACACAAGTCTTACCACATTTTTTGATGGGACAGGAACAGTCTAGGGAGAGCATTGACTTTCTACTGAGATCAGCAATGAGACAGGCCAGTGAGGAGGGTCTTAAGTTATACCAGCCTACACTCAGTTAGAGGCTTGGAGTGAATGCATTTTCTAAAGCTGGCTGTTTGCGAACGGATGGGAAGGCAATTTATATAAATCTCCAGTCTGTGTACCGGTGCTGGAAGGAGCCTGTCTACAGACAGCCCCGTCAGAGATGGTCATGCACGTTACTCCTCAATAACTCTTCTAGCACTAGCCACGGCACACTTCTGAATACGCAGAAGTCATTGACTATGTACAAATTAAAAACTGAGCAGGAGTCTACTCCTCCTGGGCATTGTTAAAGGCTTAGTCTAACATCGCCTTTGGAGTAGTGGCCCCATGAAATTTAACAGAAGGAGCCAAGGCTTTGTGTTTAAATAGGGACGGGTCAGGACATGGCTACACTTACTTCCATGGGATACTTTTGTATCTCCACTCCCCCTTTGGTAGCATCGCTGTGTGGAGCATCAAAGGAGACAGCGTGTGAGATGATATGAAAGTGCCCAGCACAGCGCCCGGCACGTAGATGGTACCCAGTGGTTAGCAACCCCTTCCATTCTTACCCCTTTTTAGAAGAATCAGTCACCGAGGGGAGATTAAAAACAAGGGTCACCCACCTGCCATCACAATTCAAAGCCAGAGTTGACAGAAAATATGTCCCATGAGACACTTGGAACTTCCCGAGGAAACCCAGCATGCAGCCCCTGGCATTCTGCAAACTGAGTTCATCCTCCACAACTCGAGGTGCAGTTGATGCTGTTTCAAATGCTTCCTCTCACCTCCACAGTGCAAATGCTGCCAGGTCCTTTTCTTTCTCTTCGAAGAAATGGAGAAGCAGATAATTCCCCCTTTCACTTCGCAGACTTTCAGACAGTGTGAGATGGATGAGATGTGGGTTTGGAGTTCAGCAGACCGGGGTTGAAATCCCCACTGGGTCACTCCCTGGCTACTCAGTCCTGGGTGAGTCCGTTGATCCCTCAATGTCTTGCTCTCTTGTGTAGATACAGCGTTTATAAGACAGACTCAATTAGCTATGCATGTTTAGCATTTGTAGTGCCTGTTTGATCCATTATAGTCACCGATTTTTAATTATTTGGGTATGCCTAATGAGGACGATGGAGATTTCAT